GTTAGTTGAACGAGCATCACCAAAAATGGTAAGTCACTTGGTGACAATGACATGCGAGCAAAATAAAAGAAATACCGTTGCACGACTGGGCGAAATGTGCACGCAGCACCGCAATTTTTGAACCGCTTGAATTCGTAATTAATTGCACGACCCAAGTAAACTGAAGCGGGGGAATAACACAAATAAAAAGAAAGAAATATTGTGAAATGTGCCCAAAAAAAACACACACATTTTCTATGCAGTTTCTGCAATTTTGACAGTTAACTGTGAAATTGCATAACGGATTCTTTTTGGACAAAACACACAGATCAAAAGGTTCATCGAGATAGCATACGCGAATACCATATTGCCCCCGAAATTAATGAATAATGCAAAAAATGTGTTTACAACCTCTTCGTGTGATCATCTATACAATGGAAATGGCCAAATGTTGTCGTTTGGTTGTAGAAATGTGCGCAAAATATGCAAATGGAGAATTTTTGTTTGAGCATTCAAAACAATGGCAGATGCCAAGACGAGTTTAAAACAATAATTCGATTTATTCGTCGTCGGTTCCGTTTCGTACTGGCCCATAAGTTATGTATTTAGTGCAAACAAACTAAGCAAGAAAATGAAATGCGCTATGTACAGTACACTTAACGGTAGCACGAAGAGCCACGCTGAAAATGAACGGCACTACATTCGATTACAATGAAAGCGATCGTTTAACTCATTGAATTCACTATATTAAATTTTATTGTAATGCCGAATGTTCGTGTTCTTCCAAAACATGACGTGGTTTTTTTTCGCGAATTGCGCAAATTTTTTCATTAATCGATTTCAACTCTTGTTCATTTTAATAGACAATTTCATTTTATTTCCATAATAAAATCGATGGTTTGACATGACATGACATCACATTTAGATGTTTATGTTTAGATAAATTCGAACGATTTGTTTTTATTTTCTTTTGAGCCCATCGCGATCTCTATTCATCTCTCTCTTTCTTGCTGAAATCAAAAATCTGAAGAAAGTGAAAAAAGCAATGGAAAGGAAAAAAACCCGACACCGTTAGAAAGACACAGCCAAAGATTGAATCTTAAGCGTGTGTCAAGGTGTTTATGTTTTCTTTTAGATTCATTCAATTTGTTTCGATAATTGAAGAAATCGAACCTTTTGACAATGTTCAATAGGCCAGTCATTGAGAAGAATGTATAAATATTGCTTGGAACCATTAAATCAATCAATTTAAAGGTTATTTGCTCTCTTTCTCTCTGCCCCCCTCTCTCTCTTTGTCGCTGGCGCAATTAGAATGGAACTTTTTCAAATCGTTTTGTAACTGCGAATGTGTGCCTAAAGAAATAATTAACTGTTCTCAACATTAAGCGAGGTAAAATTTTGATATTGGACATTTTGTTCCTGCGTTCAATCGATAATTGTTAAAAACGCTCACGCTCACATTGTCAATTCATGGCCAGTAATTAGAATGAAAACCGACCACACATTCGAATTTCAAAAAATACATTTTTCTTGGGCAAATAGACAAAATGACAATGCTCAACGAAAATCATTTACTTGAACACACTCAAGAGTGACATGATGCAAGATATTTTTATTATCTTCATGATTCCGTTTTAATAAAAATCAATTTGATAAAGAATTAAAATGGGATTTGTTGTTTTTAATTGTTTTTTTTTATTAGCGGGTGTAATTGCGTATGCCGGTATACGCATCTATGGCGAAAATTGAATCAATCATGTCGAGATCTCGGCGAGATTGGTCAAACATGACAAACCTCTCTAGTGGTTTGAATATGCGGGTGTATTTTTTATTAATCTTTTTGTCATGTTTGTTGTCGTTTTTCTCTAAGTTAAGCAGCCGGCCAGGCCATTTAATAACCGTCTTCAAATTCACATTGAATAAGAGTTCATTTGCGATCGAAAGTAAATTCAATAAGCGCGATAAAAAAAACAATTGATGAAAGTACCGAGCATAAGAAAAAGAAATGTACGAAACTTGATAGAAAAACGTTTGTCATGAACTTCCTCGGCTAAAAAAATACATATTACGACGAGTTATGGGCTTTTTTTTCTATCGGCTGCGCAATTATCTAATATCATTAGACCATGGTAATTATTGAAGTATTCCAGTAATTGACGCACATATTTTACCAGATCAAATATGAGTGTATGCACAGAAATGGTTGCAGAAATGAAAGAAAAAGCATCGTCTTGTCGTACGCTGTTGATTTACGCAAAAAAATTTCAAAATTTGCACACGCAACTAAACACGAAATCCCAATAGATAAATCGCGACAGAGAGACAAATGAACATGCGAACATGTTGATGATTGATTGAACATCACACATACTCGCTCAATTCATCATTGGAATAGGCAAATTGAAGCAACAATTTCAATTTATAATTTTTTTCTTCAACCGACGGAAGATCGTCTCGAATTCAGCATTCAATCAATTGCACTCGAATTTGAATTACGAAACAAAGCAACTAACAACTTACAACGATGAAGAATTCCATTTTCAGCGGATCGATGAACATTTAAATATTATCACCAATTAGGAAATTATAAGCAGTAATCTATAAATAAGAGGAACGGAGAAAAAAAATTCAAACGGCTATTTGAAGACATGGCTGTTTTTTTTTGCATCGCTGGAATGCCGACAACGAATGTTTTGCTAGTACGCGTACATTCGATCATTGCTACCGCAATATATTTATTATTAAATATTGTGCGCATCTCACCAAAAAAAACCATAACCATTTCGAATTTTCACTGTCAATTTCATTAATGATGAAAACGAACCGGCGAAGACGACAATAAACTTGATTTTACCATGTTTCTTTGTTTGATATTTGTTATTGCACTTGATGAAAAATGTTTTGTCTCTTCGTCGTTCGTTTGCCATTCTCATATTCGTGGTTCGCGCACATGTGCTCGCTGCATATTGACAGTCGTGTGCGCATTGTCGCATATACTCAAAAGGTTATTGGTTAGATATCCATGTCGCATTTTTTTTAGTTGCACGCAAAACACTCTCGATGTGCTCGTCTATTCAATCAACATTATGCACATATAATTTGTAATGATTGCAAATCACTTTTAATATCAATGAAACAAGTTTTTTTTCTATTTCTATTACCAAATGCAGACATTGATTGAGTTTCATCTTTTACTGTTGACGCTTTGCCACTGCTGGTATGTGATGGCATTTGTGAATGTGGTTTTTGTTTGTTGAAAATGAGGAATTAAAATCTGATAAAATTTGAATGTTGTTTGAACTTAACGGAATCCAACAAGTGCATAGAGTGCATTCTGTGAACTTGATGCCACCGTGCAAAACCAAGGAAGGTTGAAATCGAGCATGCACTATGACAATGTGTTTAGACTTTAAAAGAAATATATGGTCACCACTTCACTATCGATTTCGGCTTTACCATAACCTTGATCCATTAACTCAAACCATTTATTCTTAAACTTACCTCAAAAGAAAAAAATATATATAGATGCGATTACATGTGTTCCGAATGATGAAAAAATAATGAACAACAAACGAAAACGAAGAAAAAAGACCATTGAATTCATTTCTATATATGGAAATTTGTAATTCCTTTCTTCAAAATTCGTATCTGTTGTAACATGTGTACACAACTTAACCCATAAAACAGAAGAAAAAGAAAACAAATCAACGAACCAAAATTATTATTATGGATTGGATACAAACACATGGACTCAAAATATATACACATCGCGCACATTTCATTTCGCGCTATCTTACGACATACAAGTGCCATCAAAAATAAAGCGATTCACTCTTGTCGTATTCAAAAATTAACACAAAGATCGCATGGTAAAAAAAAATTCACCAAAATCATTCATTTTGATTTTCCATAAATTTTTGATCGTACGAATTTTTTAATATTCTTGTGTAAATAATATTTAAATCCCGCGATCGCGCGGGAGAGTGTTTGCATGTGTATGTGTCTGAGGTAATCATTGTATCATGAATTGATTTCATTTGTGTCAAACTTAGACGATTTTGGTAATTAATATGATGATCAAATGAATGACATTGTCTTGTTCGGTTCATTGTCTGTCTCTCGTCGTTATAGTCATCTGCGATCGATGAACGTGGGCTTTTTCACTGCTGCTGTTGCTGTTTGTTTTTTCTCGTTTTGCTTCTCTCCTTTATGTCTTCGATATTTCATCAGACGACGCAATAGCTGCATTGGGCCATTTTTCCTTAAAACGATCGTTTTTTTTCTCGTAAAAAAAATCACATTTTATCGATGGCGCATATCAATTGTTCATGCAGTTCGCAAAATTCCGTATTGCATTTTAGCATGCAAAAACATACAATTATAACAATGTTTACAAATTGCTCTATAGTGTGCCGTATGTACGGCTTTATTGGATCGCTGGTTTGTATTTTTTCCAATGCGATTTTCTTGGAGAGACCTTTAAATGATATTCCGTTTTTATTATAGTGTAAAATAAACTTCAAATCGAAAACACAACTCGACTTCGAATAATTTCATATTTTTTTCTTTCCAAATATTGTTTTTTTTTCTCTTGCTTTATCATTCAATTTTGGCTACTGCTTTTCACAATACGTTTATTGAATGGGAATATTGTACAAAAATGGCCTGTGCTCTTGGCATGCATGCTCGAATTAAGTGCGCATAATAAATAAGTGCATAAATAAATGTTATGTATTTTATTTCCACCTTACTTCGAATAGAAAACAAACAAAAAACCGACTCGGTCGCGCTAGAGAGCCTAAAATTAGCGCGATACCATAAATTATGCATTAGTCGATCTTGATTCCGTACAATTTTCTTCTTCTTCTTCAATATACATTTACATTGGAATTGAAATTTTACGGCCAATTATCGTGATGGTATTTCACCTGCTATATATAGTCTACTGTTGCCACCATTTGTTGTTGTTTATGCATATTTGTTGTTTTCATCACCTTCTTTTTCTGGTTCATTATTTGCAGTTTTCTATTGGCAAAATCCGAGCCGATTGGGGCACGGCCGAAAGCAGTCAATACCACATTCAAACCGATGAGGGTCCAGAACGGTTTTTTCGATATCAAACCGACAGCGGTCAATTTCGCAACGAAAAACGTCTAAAAGATGGAACAGTTATAGGTAAATATTTGATTGATTTAATATATGTTTGTTTAGAGACATCATGATGGACATTTGTGAAATGACAATGACAGTGTGTCAAAATATTGCCCAAACATGAGCAAAACCAATTCATTTCACATGATTGTCATTTTTTTTTCTCGTCTAACATGGTATTTTGTTGAAATTACAAAATACAAATTTAAAATAATGAGCAAGTAATGATACACTAAAGGCAAAATACAATTTTCCAAAAGTCAATGCATTTAATTAAAAATGTGCATGAATTGTGAAAAATTAATGAATTTAACAATGAGCGAAACTGTTTCAATTCATCGCATTTAGTAATACTTTTTCTATGGTCTTGATCTATTGTAAAATGCAGGTACCGAAGCCTGGATCGATGCGTCCGGGTATTTGCGTCAAAAGGATTACATAGCCGATAAAGATGGCTATCGAATTTTGAAGAGCAAAACAATCTTTGTTGGAAAGAGTCGACCCATTAAAGTGAGTTTTAACATAAATTCCTTCACTTAATCAAAAAATAATTCGAAGCTTTTTTTTAACAAAAGTCTATAAAAAATAATATGTGATTTGTTTTTTGTTTTTTTCAAAAGGATGTAATATCAAATGGACGAATAAATACGAAATTACTCGAATCAACGACGACCTCATCGACGCCAGTGTTATCAGTTCCAAGTATATCAAGTATACCGAATCCGAATGCGCTCGACACCGGCGACTTTGGCTATCCAAAGAGTAAGCCATCGATTTTGGTTCATTATAATGCTGAACCAATTGATGGTGGTAACAAGTTCATACCACCAATAACAACAATTGCTCCACCTGTAACCACGTACAGGCCAGTATTTTCAAGCACAACACCCACAACAATCTTACCTCCAACCAGTCCAGCTACATTTATTTCCAGCACCGCAACGCCACAATCACCGCTTGCCGTACAAAATCCAATTGATGTACCATCCAAATACTTTTTACCACCGTTATACCACGGTGGTGCTGATGATTCTCCAATTATCCGTATCAAACAATATACGCCATTACCAACGCCTGTTGCCGCCTATACCATTGACCAAATAAATAATGAATTACAATCGCCTGTGTCATCGGCCATATCGTTAAATGATGTTGCACCGATTGTACCGTATGCACCAATACGTGTGACCGATCCAACAATATTTGGATCTGCATCGCCGTCGACAACACCATTACCAATTGCATCGACAGCATCTAATGTGCCGTTATACAATCGCCATTCATATTATCGGGGTGCCAGCAAACGACCCACCGCCTATTATCCACCAAATCAAATTGATTTTGGCAATGGCATTGACGATAAAAAACGTTACGATCGTTACAATCCACGAATTTCAAATGGTTTTGGATACTATTTGCCACGACATTATCACGAAGAAACCTATCGAGAGGCAAACGCAAACAATCGAGATGGAAGTTTTGGTTATATCGATCCATTTGGCATTCGGCGTGTTGTTTATTATCATGCATCTCCCGATGGCGGTTTTAAAGTACGAAAAAATAATCGATATGTTGGTTTCAATGCAAAACCATATGATTCCAAAAAATAGATTACATACAACCACAAACTCACGAATGAACTTCAATAAATGAAAAAAAAACTCAATAGTGATTTAGACAATGTATACCAGTTGAAGAAAAAAAAAACGAATGGAAATTCAAAAGTGACGTGCTTTGAACAAAGTCAAACGTTTACTAAACATTATCGACTCATTGTTTGCATTCTGAAGCGACTCCACACTTATTTTGGTTTTTTTGTTTTTTTTTTATCACCACCATGGTATATTATATAAATAGCACTTATCATATGGCCAAAACCTGTATTAAAAGACCTTCTATACTTTCAAAAACATCACGAACAGTAGCCCGAATACACTGATTGAAAGACACTTTTATTAATATATATCGATTTATGCGCCTGCAGAAACGATACCAATTATCCAAACAACATTATATCAGAATAACGAAAAAACCCATAAAAAATATAAATTTATCTACGTTTAGAATGCAGCTATGTTGGTATTTCCTGAATTTCCATTTTTTTTGCCCCGAAAATCTGGACAATTGTCTTTCAAAATTTAAATCGATAATTGTTCCATGTCAAAACACAAATATGAAATAAATTCCAGTGTTTTTTGTGTTTCGATGCAATCTATTGCCTAATTGAAATACAAATATTGTAATTTTCATTTTTTTGATGTTGAAACAACTTTCGTTCTTTAACGCGCACACAATGCAATTCGAAATAAAATATTATTTTAGGCCGGAACGAAAGTAAAAGTCAGTATTTTTTTCTTGTTTGGCGCATTATCGAATGTAGTTCGACAAAATCAGGATCATTTTACTTTTAAACATTGGAAAGTACTTCAAAACTGGTTTATCGAACTAAATTTATACCATGTGCGATGTTAGATCTATCTTTTTTTTTAGTAAATTGTAGTTTTTAAGGTATGAAATCAGAAGTGAACAATTCCTAGCAAAAGAACATGTTTAAGAAAATGAAGTAAACATAATGAACACTTTAAATGTTTAATATAATGTCTTTTTCTTTAAAAAAAAACAACAAACTAACAAACAAATTATATTTTTACAAATAATTTATCAGCAGGAACAAAATGAATGAAGATGAGAGATGATTTTTTTATTTCATTTAATGTGTTTGTGTGGAAAATCATGAGCTTTTCTAAATAAACAAATGTAATAAGACTTGCCATACGATTGAAACACATGTGTACGATATTTTTTTTAAATGCAAAAAAAAAAAAAGATGTATGCAAGGAAGAAAATGCAAAAAAAACACAAATTAATTTATTTTATATAAGTTACTACAAGAAGAGGTGAGAGCAAGCCGGAAATCAGCAATAGAAAATGCATACCTCCCATTATAATCTTACAAATAAAATGTGCGATATATGGGGGGCGAAGCATTGAATTTAGAATTGTTTTTAGATCGTTGATTCTATATAACCAAAATATTAATGTTTAAGTACCATTCCTGTACATATCCAACGTGTAACGTTTAATTTTGTAATTTTATGCTTACGTGTTTTTTTTTTTAAATTGAAAAACAAAATAACAATAAACAAAAAATTGATAAAAACAAACTGGTGGTTTTGTATTTTCCAATTCTCTGACCAATTTACAGTTACAAAACAACTTTGTGTTATTTACGTATATTGCAGTTATCGTTACATTTATTATGACACGTTTATTCAAGTGTATTAGTTCCTGAAACGTTATTTTTAACCATAAACGATCCGGTTCATTCAAATGGTTGGATCTATGGGAGCATAGCTGCATATCCAGAAAGAAGAAATCCAGTTTATCACTCTTTCTGGGATATTTGTATAAAAGGTAATGGAATTATGTCGAAAAACAATAGACTCACTTTGATTGTTCATTGGAAATCATCAATAGTTTTCTTTTGTTGTTTGTTTACTTGAACGAATACGAATTCAGTACAGTTTTTTTTTGTAACAAGTGCAATCGAGAATGGTAAGAAATCGATTTTTTTTATTTTTGCTTAAACATTTCGACTAACGTTTGGGACATTCTTCATATTGCAAAAATAGAAGCTGTTTATTGTGCTTGCAACGCTTGCTCTATGTAGTAATGCTGATGTTAGTTTTCCACCACTTATTAGTATTGGCGATTATCGTGCACCGTTCAACGCATATGGAGCGCCCGAAATTCAAAAACAACCATCATTCATAAAACTATCTGAACGTAAGTTAATCGCTTTGAATAACGGTTTTTACTTCATTTGTCAAAAAAATTGATCACGCAAAATGTTTGATATTTGAAAATCGGATCTAATGAAAAAATAAAATACAAATATGTGTCATATTACAGCATTACCACATGCTCCAGCTGCGATATATGGCGCACCCGCTGAAGCATATGGCCCACGTAAGCATATTTGCTCATTAACATGATCAATGATTTTACGCTGAAAATATTAATTTTCGACAAAATTGTAGCAATTTTACGTGCTGAACCTGAACCTGCATCGGAGCCTTTCATTCTACCACCAGCAGCACCTGCACTACAACCGTTACCAGAAATTTCACAACGTACGCAATTTCTAAATGAACATTTTTAAAATTTATTTATTTATTATATTGTGACATCATAATATTGTTTTTTTTTTCATCATTTGGTTGATATTAGCTGCTTTCAGGGAAGAACTAGTACCCGCATCAGTTTACGGAATTCGTAAGTATTCAATTTATCAATTCTTTTGTGCTTTCTTTTTGATTAAACGTTTTCTTTGTTTGATTTAAACTTTAGCAAATGAACCAATCGTAAAATCTGAAGTCGTTGTCAATGCTCCATCACCAGTATACGGTCCAGGTAAGTTTTAAATTCAACCATTTCAAATGCCATCCAATTTAGACATGAATATAATTTGTAACAAAAATGTATTACGTAATGAGATGTTCATACGTTATTTCGAGTCTTTGGCATAAATAAGTTACGGATTTTATGTCAATTTAATGCAAATAACCTCGAGATTTTATTATTCAAATGCGAATTTCCATTTGGATTTTAATGATAATAACCATAGCGGCCAGCGGCAAATTGCATTCGGTTTACCGTCATGCAATGAAAATATTACATCAAATATACCACAATTTTAAAAATTATCGTAATTGCTTTTTTGCGGAAATCTTTTTGAACTCATTGTAATCATTTAATATGATGATTTTTTTCCATCAGTCGATTTTGCACCACCAGTGTTCAATGCACCTATTGTAGCTGCTATTCCGGAAGTTCCAGCAACAGTTTATGGAGCTCGTAAGTTAATCAAACATTATCTTATTTCAATTGCTAAAATTAAAAAAAAATCATAAATTTTACCGAATTATCACACTTTCTTGTCTATTTGTCTGGTTTTTAGCAATTCTTAAAGAAGAACCAATCATAAAAACTGAAGTTTTGCCGGAAGTTATCAATGCGCCTTATCCAGCAGCTGTCGAGGATGCACCAATCAAACCAGAACTAGTCTATGGCACGCGTAAGAATTAATCACATCTACGATATGGTCACAAAGTTTGTGACCGTTTCTATGAGAAAAATCCATTTTTTCCCAATCTTTGAAATTTTTCAATTCTCAGCAGACGTTGATCTGAGGAAATTTCAAATTGTTAATGCAATTAGTATTTAAAAGCTTTTGATTTATTTGATTTTAGCTGTTGTCCAAGAGCTACCAATTGCGAAAGTTGCCATCGATGCTCCATATCCATCAGCTGTTGAGGATACTCCAATTAAACCAGAATTAGTCTACGGCACACGTTAGTTTCATATACATTTATTCATGACACTAAATTTTGTAAATATATACCATATCAACAACTTGAACGTTAATTTTACATATCTTTAGCAATCGAACCTGTCACCAGCTATGTTGAACCTGCCGCTGAGCCCTTTTTCGTACCACCACCAGCGCCTGAATTACCACCACTACCGAAAATATCAGCACGTTAGTGATAGTTTTCTTTGAGTTTTTACTTGTACACTCTATTGTTAAAGTCCATCTCATTTTAAAAACTTTTTAATTATACAGTATTAATGTATAGACAAAGGGTACTTAAACGTTTCTAATTTGCTCTGAATTTTAGCGGTTGTCCAAGCACTACCAGTTGTTGATGCTCCATATCCATCAGCTGTTGAGGATACTCCAATTAAACCAGAAGTAATCTACGGCACCCGTAAGTATTAGTAGTAAGAATCAATTAAATTTACGATGTGTTCAGGTCCAAAAAAAATCAATTTCTTACCAATCTTTGAAAATATCTAAAATTCTTAGCAGAAATTGATCTGAGAGAATTTCAAATTGTTCAAATAGTACTTAAAAGTTTCTGATTTATTTCATTTTAGCGGCTATCCAAGAACAACCAATCGCTAAAGTGGTAATCGATGCCCCATATCCAGCACCTGTCGAAGATACTCCAGTCAAACCAGAAGTGGTCTACGGAACGCGTAAGTATTATTCAAATTTACGATATAGTCAGAAAATTTGTAACTAAGTGTGCGTGCACATTCAAAATACAAGCACTGTGTGCGACGCACATTGAGTGTGAGTGTGCACACTACTGTGTGCGTGCACTGACAGAGTGAAAATAACAGCCCTGTCAATTAGTATTTAAAAGTTTCTGATTTATTACATTTTAGCGGCTATCCAAGAACAACCAATCGCTAAAGTTGTAATCGATG